CATAGTTAATAACGTCGTGTTCCTGCCTTGGCAGGAACACGACGTTTAGCTTGCTGAACTAGGTTCACAGTGCTGAATGTGGAAAATGTTTTAAGGTCTGCGCAACAAAAGTTGCACATTTGTATAGCTGACAGTGACAGTTGGTATACTAGGTGAGAGAGTGAATTGTATTTTATTACCCATATTGTGAAAGTTGAAACATAACCAGTGTCATATATCATGTATATATCATATATGTGCACATGTGTACATATCATTTTGGCCTAGCAACCATTGTTTCTGTTTTGTCGTCTGTGACGTCATTAAACAATTGAATATGACGTCAATTAACAGGGCTGTCACACTTGTTTACCATGTTTTACTGCACAAATTTACATGCATAATAAAGAAATTATTATACTTGAACAAGTGTGTCACATGACTAATACAAAACAAGATTATGTAATACAAAATTTCACACTCTTTTCGTATAAGTTGTTTGACACACTTGCTCGTGTAATAATTCTTTGAATGCCACACTTAACAGTAATGTGGAGGCAGGGTTCCAGATAGGGGCCGTATCGGCGTATGTACGGATATACAATATGCACGATACGGTAGGAAATAATTTAGAAAACGTAGCAGATACGCACCACAGCAATTGTGTACAGTCTTAGAATCATTTAGAGATGTATACTCTTCAAAAAAAACGAAACGCAAGAGGGATATTTTTTTAATTTTAAAGAGAAATATACGTAATAACGTTACAAGCTCATAGTATGTGATGTTACACATGTTGAGGCACTGATTGTCAGAATAAAATGACAATAAAAGTTGTCCACTGTGAAAACAGATGAAAACATGGAATTTTTTGCCAAAACGCATTCGTGTCCAATAAATCTGTTTGAGAGATCTTCATGTTCTGCACGTGCAACATGAGCAAAAGCCCTATAAGAGTGACGAGTTTTCGGTTTCCATAGCTCAGTTTTAAGCCACCGACACGTAATACAGTCATGCCCAGACTGAATGAAGCACAACGCAACAACGACATTGGTCGCTTGGAAGCAGGTGAATCTCGATCAGATTTTGCCAGAGCTGGGAATGTCCACCCAAGCACCATCACAAGGCTATGGAATTGTCACCAACAACATGGATCAACTCGTGACCGTCCCAGATCCGGCAGACCTCGTGTGACCACGCCCGCACAAGATCGCTACATCCGGTTACGTCACCTTTGGTATAGGACCACCACTGCGACGTCTAATGACGTCATATGAACGTTTTGCAGCAAACTGTGTGCAGGAAGTTGACAGATTTCGTGGTGATAGTGTCATGATGTGGGCCACCATCGCCTACAATGCCAGAAGAGACCTTGTGCACATTCGAGAGAATCTTACGGCTCAACGATACGTCGACAAGATTCTTAGGCCCCATGTGCAACCCATCATGGTGAATATCAACGAGGTTTTTCAGCAGGACAACGCCCGTCCTCACACAGCCCGACTCACCACTACCTTCTTGAGAAACCACAACATCAACGTTCTTCCCTGGCCCTCCAGATCACCAGATTAAACCCCATTGAACATCTATGGGACGAGTTGGACCGACGTCTGCTACGGCGACAACCTCAACCGTAGACTCTACCTCAGCTTGCAGCAGCTTTGCAGGCTGAGTGGACAGCCATTCCACAGAATGTGATTCGTCATCTCATCGCTTCCATGGGCAGGAGATGCCAAGCAGTTATCGATGATCATGGGGGGCATACTCGTTATTGACGTTGAGTGACGTTAAACTTCACCTAGTGACCGTGGACTTCACCTTTGCAGATTTTGGATGTTCTTCAGTGCATGTGCCAAGTTTCACAAATGTCATACAGAACTACCCGGAATAAACTTGTTCACAATTTTTCTCAAATATTGCCTTTTGCGTTTCTTTTTTTGAAGAGTTTATTCATCTGAAAAAGTATTGTTTTATTGTTTGTTGACCTGTTTACACAAGAGGAGCAATGGTGTGGTGCACATATGAAACGAAACACAAGATTACTGATACTCCATTAAATTCCATTCAGTACTCTAAATGTACTCTTCAATTTTCCCAGTACTCCTATATTGAAAAAATAAGGAGTACATACTCCTGATGGTGAAAAATTATCTGGAGCCTTGTGGAGGAAATGCAGATCTCAGAGGGTTGATACTATGCAGATAAAAACCTAGGAAAATCAGGTGTTTCTTCCTTTTTCTGTCATGGTTATTGCTCCTGTGCACACCAGAAACCCTGTGGTGTATATTTGCAGAGCTACAGATAACTTTTTTGGTCATTGAGTTATGTACTCGCTTGTGTTCATCTCAATTGTGTATCCTAATTTTCCTTTGAGTAACCAAATAAATTGTACCGACCTCACTCAAACTTAATTGGGTATTTTGCCATTTTCCATTAATTGTAAAAATATGATAAAGTTTAAATGTTGGTTTATGTGTTTGTTATTTGTATTTGATCTGTAGTATGAGAAACAATAAGAAAGACTGAAGTTGCCAAGTTCATGTGCTGAAATAGAATCTCTCAATACTAGAATACCTCAGTTTTTTTATCTGTCCTCGTTAAACTCTATCACAGTTTTGTGTGTACGCATGTAAGATCAAATTTGTTGCGTATTTACAAAAGTTCAAGGGTACTTGTACGCAATAGACTCAATAGGAATTGTGTTTTCACATATATATTTGCGTAACTTATGCAGATATGCAGCTTATCTGTACCCCTGTATATGAATCTCAGTTTAGTGAGACAAGCTCCTGATCATCTTCAGTCCTTTTTGTACTCATGTATATGGTCACTGATGCGGGGCAGTGGGGTAGCCTAATGGTTAAAGCGTTGGCTCGTCACGCCGAAGACCCGGGTTCGAATCCCCACATGGGCACAATGTGTGAAGCCCATTTCTGGTGTCCCTCGCCGTGATGCTGCTGGAATATTGCTACAAGCGGCGTAAAACCAAACTCAGTCAGTCACTGATACTCACAACAAACATTTCCTCGGATTGACTATGATCAAGTTTATGTGATGTTGCCGCCGTGTAGCTAGAAATATAATACTAAGTGACCATGTCAAGAAACATTGCAGTCATAATATGTCAGAATATTGGTGAGTGAGTTTAGTTTTACGCCACACTCGGCAATATTCCAGCTATACGGCGGCGGTCTGTAAATATTCTAATCTGGATCAGACAATCCAGTGATCAAAAGCCTGAGCATCGATTTGCACAATTGGGAACAGATGACATGTGTCAACCAAGCCAGCGAGCCTGACCACCTGATCCTGTTAGTTGCCTCGAACGACAAGCATGGGTTACTGAAGATCAGTTCTAACCTGGACCTTCACGGGTTCAGAATATGGAAGGAAGCTTTCATCTGTCATTTTTACACTTTCAGAAAATACTTCATCGGTTCAAGAGCATTGGCAGACCATTTTAGAAGTAAACCCCACAAACGAAGGTTCGTATGTTTCTAATAATAGCAGTCCTGTTGTGAAAAGCAAAATTTGTGAAGAGATTTGGCATGTTTGACATTTTGGGAGGGGGGGGAGTACATATTTGTACCTTTGCACTTTGAGCAAGACATCGAAAATTATATATGTCCTCAAATGCATGATTGGCTCTGTAAACATCTCTGAAGATTGTTTCAAAGATGACATATGGTTTTCAAATTGTTTGAAATAAATTGTTTCATATTTCAGATTGAAAAATAAGTTAAAATATCCTTTTTTTTCAAGATCTGAAAAGCCTTAGTGTGATATGCCAGTCGAGAGCTTGTTGTTTTTCAAGTTGTATTGTCTTCGTACACTGTAATATCAGAAACTGTAATTTGATGCATGTTTTCAGAATTAAAGCACTGCAGATGGAACCGTATTCCCAGGAGGAGGCTGAGAGAGCAGCAGGCATGGGGTCGTACATCGCACCCAAAACAGTGGAGGTCAAAACTCAGGACACCAAGGAGGACGTGCAAGCAGAGGAAGTGGAAGGGACATAACTCTGTATGGACTACAACCTCATGAGGAGACTGTGATCACTTGTGCTGTCCAGCTCATGATGGAACAGCAAATCTATATTTGCTAGTCTATGAAAATATATCCATGTTTCGGCCTTGAAGGTTCGAATTAAGGAGACTAGTTTAAACTCATTGATGTAACTGAAATGCACTACATTATGTTATGTGATTGATTTTCACTAAGATTTCAGAGATCCTGATTTTGGATCAACTGAGCAGTCTGTTGACCTAAAACTTCAGTCAAAAATATAAAAAATACATAGTTTTGTTTACGTGGCTACATTTTGGTAGATTGGAAAAGAGAGTAAAACTACATTAAGAAATAAAAAGCAACAGCTTGGCTTTTCCATAATTTGTTTTTGATCAGCTGCACAGGCAAATGCAAATACGTAATTTATCTGTTAATTTAGAGATTAAGCCAGAATGAAGTGAATATCTAATAATCGCAAATAGTCTGATGGCTGGTGTATTGTCATATTCATAATCAGATTTGGCTAGCATAAAGACATCATTAAGCCTGATACGGCTTTTTTATTGCTAAAAGTCTAAATATGTGGCTTGAATACTACTAATACTCACTAATAGGCTGATAGGCTGGAATACTTCTTAAAGTGGTATATTTGCCTACACTTTAGCTGTAGTGCAGTGATGAGTGTCCTTCACTCAACAAATGGAGGATTTAGTTTCCCATCTAGACTATGAGTGCAGCGTAAAACTGAACTCACTCACTCACCCATCTAGACTGACAATACTGACCAACACATGACAATTTCCTTGTAGCTCAGGTCTTGGAAACTTACTGCTTTGGCCGATCTCAAGACGGTTGGTTGGTTTGTTGTTTAATACCAGCTGTATGGTGGTGGTCTGTGAATAATCGAGACTGGATCAGACAATCCAGTGATCAACAGCATGAGGGTGGATCTTTGCAATTGGGAACCGATGACATGTGTCAGCCAAGTCAGCGAGCCTGACCACCTGATCCTGTTAATCACCTCTTACAAGCATGGTTTGCTGAGGACAAATTCTAACCCAGATCTTCACGGGTCTAACTCAAGAGCATAGTAAACCTACTGATCAATTCAGTAAGTTCATCTAGTGTATTGTTGGATTAACCAATTATAACTCTTGAGACCTAATACAGATAAGCATAATCCCCCTTCAACTAATCACCCTAAGTTGAAGACAAATGCACTGTACGGATCCTCGGGACTTGGGCCCTTAGTGTTACCTTCACGAAATTGACATTTGCTGTATTTAAAATTTATGTATTTCATATAATTAAGATTCCAAAACAAGAAACAGCTTGGATCAGCATTTGCTGGTGAGGTTATGTGAATGTTGTGTTTTTGTATGAAATAAATTTTGAAAATGTGTTTGTGTTTGAATTGTGAAATTATTTTATTTCATACATGACCATTGCTTTCATGCTTTAAATACTGGCAAGGGGTGCAGACAGTGGTTTTCACCCTTCCATGAAACCACTGGGTTGGGGAAAGATGCTGAAAGATGAGCTGCGAGATGAAATGACATGTCAGGTAATTGCACTTATATAGGTACCTGCATGTGGTGGGGTGGCCTAGTAGTTAAAGTGTTTGCTCATCATCATGAATACCTGGGTTCGATTCCCCTCATGGGTACAATGTGTGGGTTACAGTCTACCTGACCTATATTCACACCTGACAGAACTCACCCCATGTGGGTACAATGTGTGAAGCTCATTTCTGTTGTCCCCCCACAAGGGGCGGTGGGCTAGCCTAATGGTTAAAGCGTTGACTCGTCACGCCGAAGGCCCAGGTTCGAATCCCAAAATGGGTACAATGTGTGAAGCCCATTTCTGGTGTCCCCCGCCATGATGTTGCTGGAATATTGCTAAAAGCGGCGTAAAACCAAACTCAGTCAGTCAGTCAGTTGTCCCCGACAATGGTGCTGGGATTTGGCTTAAAGCAGAGTACAACCAAACTCACTCACTCACGTGCATGCATGGGTACAAGTAAGGCATTGTAGGGTTTTCAGAGTGCTATCCTGATGAGATGCCACGCCATAGTGTAACACTGACCCACAGCATGTGAGTGAGGTTAGTTTTATGCTGCACTCAGCAATATTCCAGCTATGTGGTGGCAGTCTGTAAATAATCGAGTCTGGACTAGACAATCCAGTGATCAACAGCATGAGCATCGATATACGCAATTGGGAATCGATGACATGTGTCAACCAAGTCGGGGGGCGGTGGGGTAGTCTAATGGTTAAAGCGTTGGCTCGTCACGCCGAAGACCCGGGTTCGAATCCCCACATGGGCACAATGCGTGAAGCCCATTTCTGGTGTCCCCCCGAGAATATTTCGCTCATATGACGACGTGCATGCGTGTGTATGTATATTTGCGGCTGCTTGTACTAGCCCAGACTTACGCTGGTTTTATAGTGCTAGCCCACTGAGATACCATGCCGCAGTGAAACATGAATACCCCGCTTAGACGCATTATACTGACTCCGAGCCGACCAGTCCTTGTTGTACCCATTAATGCCGAGCGCCAGGCAGGGACCAACAAGTACCATATTTTAACGTCTTTTGGTATGACGCGGTCGGGGATCGAACCCGCGACCTTCCGCTCACCGGGCGGACGCTCTAACCACTACACCACGGAGGCGGTCAGTAAAAAGGATCCCTACAGTTGAATGAGGAATGACATAGTTACCTTCCTTACATCGTTGGTTGATTGGTTTGTTGTTTAACGCCGCATTCAGCAATATTCCAGCTAAAAGGCAGCTGTCTGTAAATAATCGAGTCTGGACAAGACAGTCCAGCGATCCACGGCACGACCACCGATCTACGTAATTGGGATACGATGCCATGTGTCAATCAAGTCCGCGAGCCTGACCACCCGATCCCGTTAGTTGCCTCTTACGACAAGCATGGGTTGCTCATAGGTGGATCCAGAGGGGGGTGCAGGGGTGCGCACCGCCACCACCCCTGCTTTTGTCCTGAAAGTTTATAAAATGACCATTGAAAACGGGTGAAAATGAAGTGTGCACACACTCTTCTTTCAAGAGTGCACACACACACACACACCCTTTCTCAAAAAGCTGTATCCGCCCCTGTTGCTGAAGACCAATCCTAACCCGGATCTTCACGGGTCTCTTTACATCTTAATAATGTCGTGTGTAATTGTGCGAACTAATCAATGGATAAGTGTGCACCACAACCCAAGCTGTCTGTTAGGTGCTGGAAGGTTAACAGTCATATGACCAGCTAGCCCCACCGGGTACCCATCCATTGCAGGGTGAACAGAGGCACATTTGAACAAAGTCACGTGCCCAAGATGAGAACACATGTATTACACATGCTTCGTATTGGGACAGGACTGCAGTCCTAGAAACTGTCGGAAGTCAAGCTGCCAAACATGGCCACCCATTCAAAGACTCTCCGCGACCAACGTTGCTGAACTTCAACTGATTTGTGATCTTGTCACCTTGCTCACGACAACACACCGCCACTTGAAATGCCTTCAAATACATTCTTGGAAAACCAGAGAAATTCCTTCGCTTCTGGCCCGGTAAAGTTCATTCTTCAAGCCGGGGACCTGGGTGCTAAATAGGCAAGGGACCGTTCACAATTTATGGCTAGGGGCTGATGATGATATCTATGGAAAAGCATGTACAATGTGAATGACTCAACCTCCCCACCATTTTTAGACGAGATGTTTTTATGTTAAGACTTAACATAGTCTATAGTTAGACGATGACTCATGTTCTACGTGGGTTTCTCCACAACTTATTTTTATACTCAGGTGGGTAATATAAGGCCCTCAAACAGTTCCCTGTGATCGAGAATACTAACAGCAGGCACACACTGGACTGCGTTGTGGCACTCGCTTAGGATGATGGAAAGGTCGTAAGTCCTTTGGGGTTGTCCGCCTTGATCATTGGCCAGTCGAGCGCACGCTGTCCAAAGGCATTGACTACAGTGTGCTCATTCCCATAGCGCTCTTCTAACTCCTTCATAGCTGCAACATAGCCCACTTCTGCATCTAGATAACCAAACCCCTTCACAAATTTATTTGCCTCACCGCAAGTAAATTGTTCCAAATAATTCATGTTTTCATCAGCGATGTCAGAGTTTGCCAGAATCTTGGATCTGAACTGACGGATGAACTTTCTGAATTCAAAAGGGTCACCTCCAAAATACTTGATTTCGGGAAGAGGTTTTCTCATCTGCCTAACTACTGTAAGAATGAGGCCATCAACTGTATTTCCCTGATTTACATCAGTCCACTTTCATTGGCTGGGTAAGGTCGGCTTCATGTTGAACAGATCAGTCACCTCTCACACTCGGACAGTGTTTCTTTTCTTCAAATTCATCCAAAATCTCTTCATATCTAATTCCTGTTTTCTCTCCAACGCAACCGACCTTGTCATGATTTCTGCTTTCCTCTGTTCTTCCTTAATTCTCGCAGACGAATGACTTGTAGCAGAACTGCACTGACTTGGTCTTGAGGTGTTGTCTTCAAAGCGCATGTTTCTTTCAGGTGAGTTATTCAGTTTCTTTCTTGTATCTTCTTGACTACTGATCCATTCTTGTGTTTCTATTTTGAACTGGAGAAATATATCAGACAAAGTATCTAAAGTGATCATGAATTGTGTGGCTTCACCTAGCATGGCTAGTGTGATATACTGATCTTGACAGTCAAGAAATTCTTCATATGCTATGAGCCAGTCCTTATACCCATGCCTGACGCATTCATATTCCTTCTCTTCTTTGATCAGAGAATATCAAGCGTCTTCTCGGAAAACTGCCATACCAATACCAAGAGAGATTTAGAAGTGTTGCACAGGCAGTGAAAGAAACAGGTCAAGTGGTCAGGTTCCGGCATCTGGTAGACTTTGTAAAGAAAGAGTCCAAGAAGGCCAATTACCCAATTTTTGGAACAGAAGCACTAAGAAAGACGTCAGAGATGATAGGTACAGGAAACGGCCACATCCAACCAAATCAAAGTATGCATTTACAACTGAGGCTGATAAGGTGGACCATAGAAGGATGGTCAAGAGAACTAGTAACATGGACAATAGTTACACGTCTTCCAAGACTCAAGAGAAAAGAAATTAAACTAAGCACAAGACATGTCTGTTCTGTAATTCATACAATCATACCATGTTGTGAAAAGATAGCGGCTACACCCTATGCTGACAGATTGCAATTTTTAAGGTAAATGGACTCTGCTTCAAATGTTTGACAAGGGGACATATGAGTAGAGAGTGCAGCGCTAATGTTGTGTGTGGACATTGCAAGAATAGACATCAAACATTTCTCCATATGAACTACTCTGAATACGAAGACTGGGAACAGACAATACGACATGTAAAGGTTTCAAGTGAAGACAAGAACATTGCCAGTGCATGTTCAGATCGCAGTCATGAGCTTGAGTGTGGTTGTGAGATGGGAGCCAGGGAGACAATTATTCCTATCATTGTAAGAAATAAGAACAGAGCTCAAGCCATGCAAACTTATGCATTCTTGACCCGGGAAGCAGCGTTTCCATTTGCACGGGCAAGGTGATGCGTCAGATTGGAGCCTTAGGTACAGGAATGACCATCACCCTGGAAACTATTGGCACTAAACATTCTATGCAGACCTATGCTGTGGATGATTTGGAAATTAGTGACCTAGATCAACAAAATGTTATTCCCATGCCAAGAGTATACACCAAGGACGAGATGCCAGTGACTAAAGATCATATCCCAAATGAGATGGACTTGTTGTGTTGGCCCCATCTGAACAGTATTGCACTACAGCATTTGGAATCCGATGGTGTATTAATAGGAAACAATGTGCCAGACGCGTACACTCCTTTAGATGTCAAGACAGGACCAAGTGGCAGTTCACATGCAGTGAAGACTATACTAGATGGAAATCTCTTCCAAGGAAGTAGAACATGTTATGTCAACAGAGCTGAGGTGACTGCAATTCAAGAATTAGAGGACTCACAGAGAATAGAGAAGATTGTAAGACAATCAATAGATTTTGATTTCCCAGTCATTGTCAAAGAAAAAGAAAAGAAACAGCCGTCATTGGAAGACAAGAAATTCACAGAAAAGGTTGAAAGGTTAATTCAGCTACTTGATGGACATTATTACATAAATTTACCTTTCCGGTAGGATGATATTCATTTCCCTGTCAACAGCAGCATGGCGTTACAGCGTCTTGAAAGTCTTACAAAACTAGCTAAGAATAAGAAGTTTAATAAGGACTACAAAGTTTTCATGCAGAATCTCCTGGACAAGAACTATGCCGAAAAGATTCCAGACAACGAACTTGAATGTGAAGATTGAAAAGAGTGGTATATCTCCCACCATGCGGTCTACCACCCACACAAACAAGACAGGAAACGAGTCGTCTTTGACTGTGCCGCAATCTGTAATGGAGTTTCACTCAACACTGAACTTCTGTCTGGACCGAATCTACTAAACAGTTTACTTTGAATATTGTTAAGGATAAGACAAGAAGCAGTAGCTGTTATGGGTGACATTGAGACAATGTACTACCAGGTTCGAGTACCACCGGAAGATTGTAACTTCATGCAGTTCTACTGGTGGCCAGATGGTGACATAACTAAGGACCCAGAGGCTTCCCGAATGCTAGTTCACATGTTCGGCGCAATTTCCTCTCCAACATGCTCCAGCATTGCTCTGCGACAAAGTGCCATAGACAATAAAGATGCGTACAATCCCAGTGTAACCAAGACAGTGATGAACGACTTCTATGTGGACGACTGTTTATCGTCGGTACCAACAGTCAATGAAGCAGTGTCTTTGATTGATGGAATCAGCAAGATGTGTGGTAGAGTCGGGTTTCACGTCACGAAGTGGACGAGCAATAGTCGCGAAGTTCTGAGTCAAATCCCACAAGATGAAAGAGCTAAGGGGATACAAGAATTAGATCTGACAAGTGACCTACTTCCCTCCGAAAGAGCATTAGGGATCTACTAGTCAGTAGAAGACGACAATACTGGATTCAAGATACAAGCAGGAGACAAACCTATTACAAGAAGAGGATTGTTATCTGTAACCAGTTCAGTGTACGACCCTCTCGGGTTAGCATCCCCGTTCATTCTGAAAGCCAAGATTCTTCAACGGGAGCTTTGTCAGCTAAAGTTAGGTTGGGATGATCCTCTGCCAGAAAAGCACCAACCAGCCTGGGAAAAGTGGCTGCATGATTTACCATATCTTGAAAACATAATCATTCCTCGATGCTACAAGCCTTCGAACTTTGGCAAAGTAATCCATTGTCAACTTCATATGTTTTCTGATGCCTCAGATGTTGGATATGGAATTGCAGCATATGTGCGTGTTACGAACTATTTAACAAAGTTAATTGCTGTTTGGTGATGTCCAAATCACGCGTCGCCCCATTGAAGAAAATGACAATTCCAAGAATGGAATTAACAGCAGCATCAATCTCTGTCAAGTTGTACAAGTTCATAACAGCTGAACTGGAATATGAGGTGGATGATGTAATATTTTGGACCGACAGCATGGCAGTGTTGAAATATATCATACAAATATGATATGACAACTTTTAGGGTCACCAGGGCAGGGGAGACCCTCGCACACACATCTGGAATAAATAATCCGTTCGCCCTATGTCTCACGTATCGGGGCCTACTGACACGCTTTAACGTAGTTTATAGACTTTGTAGCAGTTGTCACAACGTGTATATCACTTACAGCTGACAAGCAGGTCAGGCGAATAACCCCTACACCTTCAGTGTTACATTTGTAAAGGTAACAGAATACCTGCCAATTACAAAATAATGAAGGCATGGAAAGGGTCATCCCTAAGTATGACTACCAAAAGGGAGGGCCGGGATTTTGAGTGCTTTGTCCATTAATAACCCCAGGACCTCGCTTAAGTAGACCAAGGGAGGGGGATTTAGGGACAATTGGACAATTCGTGAGAGGTCATCAAACTGCTGAAGGCAATTGGCTTGTCTTTGAAACTGTTTGTGATGAATGTTAACGGTGGGGCAGGCCACACTCACCGTGATATCGATTCATGGGCTAGTATTTAAATTGAAATTGAACACATTAAACCCTGAGATGTCACCCAGTGCAATATGTGTATAAATGAGCCTTCAAAAGAAGACACCCTACCCGCCCCCGAGTCCCATAAAACCATACACTCACTCACTCATAATCGAACAGTGGTTGAGTGACTCGCATACATTTTATATACTAGCTGCAGCACGAATATCATGACTCCCTGAACAAAAATAATCTATCGCCATCTTTCACACCACATGGCTGTAATAACGTCACCACATAACGTCATTTTCATCATTTTGTCCAATAGAGAGTCGAACCTCCAAACGTCAGCTCCCCCTGCAGGACCTCCGTCCACTCTACCAAGAAGCAGTCTGTTTGCTGGTGACTTTTCGATACGCTTCACAAATCCTACTTTCGAAAGTTGAAATATGTGCTGACACTTAATATAGCTGTCATAGGCACCGTAAGCACACGCAACTTGAAGATATTGTGTTCATTGTTTGTGTTCAGTCATCCGGATGTACTAAATGTACGTACATCTTACAGCTGTTCGTGTCAAGACAGACTACGCTTTTCACAACACATGGTCTCCGTTGTTGAAGCATGCAATTCTTAAATTTCCTTCTGTTTAGATTTGATATGAACTGAGGTGCAAAAGAAAGTATACCTCTTTCTTGATGTTATCATATGTTTGTTTTTCCATTGAACGTATCTGAATTTACGTGTATATGAACTGTCCTGGGTACTGGCTCTTCATTATTGCAAATAATTTGATATAAAACTTTAAAAAAAATATTCGCATGATACAGGACTGCTCATTGTTATCTCGGACATATAATTTCTGACATTCAAAATATTTGCATTTTTCGGCACAAATGTACAACATGATGTAGGAAAAAAAAGTAACAGTACTTTTTTATCTAGTAAACTCGTTTCATTTTCCCCCTGTTACTTCTTTTCCGATCACCGTACAACATTTCAAACATGCTAGGAGTCACATACATGTAGATATGCTGTGGATTCATTATGAGAATTTACGTTTTACAAACTGTTACAGGGAAGAGTGATGATTAAATAGACAAAAATAATATCAAACAGCAGTGTTCTCTCTTTCAGTTACATAAAAGTCTCGGTATACTTTCTTTTGCCCCTCAGTCTGATTTCACATTGAAAAACTATTTATCAACGTATTAATTATGTTTTAATGTTCAAAAGGCTAACATTTTCGACAAAAAGTTACAGAGAACATTTTTTAAGGTTATCGAGAAGACAATTCTCTTATGGTGTGTAATTGACATAAATTCAATATGAGGTAACTAAGTCTCCAAACAGAATTAAGTAAAGGCCAGGATAGTTTTGGCAAACGTATTATAAGATTTATTATTTGCTGTGCCTCTTTTGCCGACTTTGAACGTGGATGCATAGAAATAATTATATTTCCAGATCAGTTCCGCAACGTCAGTTAATCAGAACTATCCCAGTGTTGAACTAAGATCAATAGAAATCAGATAGAACTCTACACCCAACACGCCACAGTGACAGAGGAAATCTACTCAACAATAGGTAACCAACAGAGGCCACGCTCAGCCAGTCGTGAGATTGCCCCCACGTGCCCGAACACATTTAACGCCACTTTGAGAAACAAGCGACACCTATTGCCAGCTCCTTGCAGCGACTGACGTTAAGTTGTGAAGGTGGGTGTTGCAGGTTGAGTATCGCGGGCTGTGGGTAGGTGTAGGGGGTGAAGGGGTGCCCATGGTCGACTGACTGTCAACTGGCAGATAATCTGTTACCTATATACATTTGTAACACTGAAGGTGTAGAGGTCATACCGCTTGGCCTGCCTGTCAGCTGTAAGTGATAGATGTGATGTGACGGCTGCCATACAGTCTATAAACTACATAGAAGCGTGTCAGTAGGCCCCAATCAGGCAGGCACAAGGTGCACCTCAAGGTACCGATCATTTATTACAGGCATTTGTGCGTTTGTGTGCGTGCGTGCGTGTGTGTGCGAGAGGGCATCCCACACCCTGATGGCCCTAATGTTTGGAGGCTGTCAGTTTTTTTGTGGTGAGCCACCCCTGATTGCCCCTGGTTCTATCTCCCCTACCCCCAAAACAGATATTCGTGAATATGATTTCCTGATTATAACCACATTCCTGTCTCAATTGATAATGTAATACCGGTCTGCTCTATCAGTGAGGAACAGGGAGGACTACACTGTGAACACTGTAGAACTGACAAGCGGACAAGATCGGATTTGCCACTGAAAAATTGTTTACCAAAGTTATTGTCCAGTCACATTGGTCGAACTATACAAATCGATCAACACGATCATTTGCCATTCAGGAAGGTAATGGGGTTATATGGGTAGGTGTGGGAATCGCCAGGTCAGGTGCAAAACCAGATTTTAGATATTTCAAAACGAAGAGCCGTCATGAATAATTTTAAATTGTCACGGCATGAGGAGGGAAAGCAAGAAGCGATGCAGTGCCCAGACGTCTACCGTTTTGGTAAGCAGAGACCTTGAGATCCAATCGGACTCGATCCACGACCATGGGTATGTGGTGTCCCCATGGGCTGCATCTCAGACAACTGGGCAATCCGTGTCCCCCAGTATTTACATCACACTCAGACACAGCTGAATCTGAAGGAAAAGCCCTGCATCCTGGCACCACCAAGGGGCTCAACTAAACCGCCAAACTACGGGGCCGAGGTCTTCCGGCCACGCTTTCCCCTATACGCTTGTTCGTGGCGTTTGCAATCAGTGTGCGAAATAGCCACTAGCCCGCTAGCCCGTGGCTAGTAAAAAATCAGTCGGGCCAGCAAATCTCCACAGACACTGGCCCGACTGGTTAGTGAATATTCATGGGGTCATTGTTTAAATATATCACTCTCTCCGACTTGTTAAGTTATAATACACTTTTAAATCATGCAAGATTATGGGCTGATAAATGACGGTATTTTACCTTTTTGTAATCTTTTGCTTAGTTTCTAGATTCAAATTTCGGGCTTGTGAATTATTTTCTGGGCTCGTAACTTTCAGGCATAGCTAGCCCGATTGGCTAGCAAAATTTGGAAACTATTTCGCACACTGTTTGCAATACCACCTAAACACACCCCATAAGGAATCACCAATGTTGAATAAAAGAAATGTTAACAAGATACAAGTGGTTTATTCTCATTAGAGTACACAGAAAACATCAAGTTCATCTTGTTCTTGAAAGAGCTCTTGCCTCAGACATGGTCTATGGTATGGCCACGCCAGAACTGGATGTAACCGCTTAACACAACTTCGGCACAAATAACACACAAAGACATGTTGACATTCACTTGATGATCAGTTGCACAATGCACGATTCTACTAACAAGAAATACTTGCGTGTTTGAATTGCAATTTCTATCGAAATGTCATCCCTATACAATACTCGATTATACATAGCATCATATATACATTATTTTGATAAATATCCCTGGCCCAGCTTCGTTTTAAGCCATATGACATATTTTTATATGACAAGACCAAAATTATGTGCTCAGTAAGGGGAGAATAGAATGGTTTGAAACGGAGACAAAATGTTCCTGTCCCAGCTTCGTTTTAAGCCATATGACATATAATTTATATCACAGCGCCAATACCACTCGTACATCCAGACTACTTTCAGGAGCGAGCAAAATGTGTGCTAAGTAAAGGAAGGCTATAATTGTTTGAAACGGAGATATTATTTCCGAAACAAAGCTTCGGTGGGTCCAGGGGTTTTATCGTAAAATGGGGATATAGCATCCTACATAATCGAGGATGTCACAAGAGCTGTGAAAGCGTCTCTTACTGGGTGATTTTGCTGAGCTGACTAACTGGCGGCCCCGGTGAATCGGTATCGCTAGCAGGATCAAACTCAGATATCATCGACTTAACCGGTTTGATATGTTTCGCGCTTTTGTGACTCATGTAACTCGGTCCACTCAAACCGGATCCGGTTTCCCACATTGTCTTTGATCTCGCTCCTAGACTGATACGAGCGGTTGAAAAATAGGAATCAATCCGGTTCTGGTATTCATTGTCAAGACTTGAAGTGTCCCGGATGAGAGGAGCCAGGGGGTCCAGTTTGGGTTGGATGTAATGTTCTAGCTGTATAGGGCCGTTGATTGGCTGCGTCTCCACAAGCCTAGTTCTGCTGTTGGGCACCGCCCGGGGCATCCCTTTGATATACGCTATCCTTACTTTCGGAAGCGATGCTTTTTGAAACTCGTTTCTGGGGTGCTTGATTATTTTTCTGGCAGGAAATGATTTGTAGCCTCTATGTAGGTTACTTTTACCTTTTCTGACTTCCTTCCGAGGGGTTTTGATGTCGTCTCTTCCAGATAGATCCTCAATCGTTCTTTCTTTTTTCGCCATGTAGTTTGTCATATATGTCGACACTTCCGGTTCCTGTGCTCCTTCCTGTAGAACCATCTTCTCTGCTATTTCACTGGAAAGATCGTTGATTTCCTGTTCGCGACATCTGGCAGCGATGTCTGAGAGAATTTGTTGTTGTTTACCTAACCGCCTTTTCTCAAAACTAGAGGACAGGTCCATCACTGCTGCCTTGTCCGGAGTGGCGAGTCTTTGGTGTCTGTCCCGCACATGCTGAGTCATTTGAAGCAGAGTCAAACTCCTGTTCACTGACCTTTCCCTCACGAATGAAGGCGTGGAACAGTATCCCTCGAAATAATGCTGCGACTGAAACATGGTTCCAGTTTATTTGACCACACTACACTGTTCGCAATCTCTTCTATAGTATATTACTTCTGGCCATATGTTTTAAACGTCTAAGCTCTGGTCACGCACTTATCCTCCATTCAAGCAGTAGTCTATGATCACAAATCCAATAATGTCCAGTTGAAATCGTTGTTGCCTCGCACAAACAAACAAGATGACTTCCAAACAACGCTACATTATCAAGCGGTTCCTCAAACACGATGTTCACACACTCATGTCTAACGGAGCGTAAGGGGTACAATGAGAAGCTTTCACGATCGAAAATGAAGGTTTCGGAGACTTGTTTGTCTGTTACTATGTAAGCAAGACCCTCTTGTTATCCACGGTTGTAATCAGCCTAGAACTATACTTGGTGTTATCCTCTGAACCGTGACAGATGAAAGGAGAACTGTAACACAACCCTCTAGTGTGTGTTCCAGCTGACGCGATATCAGCAGTAGTCATCGGACACTAAACTGTTATCAGTCATCTACCCGTCACCAGGGGTTCTTGGGAGAATGTTTAGTGAAAACTTTCACTTTGTGATCGGTGTGATCGAGAGATTCATCAGCCTGTGAGGTCTTGATAAAGTTGATAGCTTTTCATATATTTTTGGAACGGCACTTTAAACTGGCAACATGTCGTGAACTGCCACCATGTGCTAAAGATGACACTGCATATATACATATATATACAACGTACATTAAATGATTAAAGGGCCCTTTACAGTTCACAGAAAATACATACAGTTTTGTTCAGATATCGCTCGTGCCATCCTGTAGGAGAAATCTCAAAGCACTATGTTTCAATCACCACATGACGCTAAATATCCTTGGAAACGGTCTGTTATTAAACTTCCATGTTAATCCAATCATGGGTAGTCTCCATAACAACGGCGACGATTCTTTTCTTCCTCCCTTGATTGAAGAGTTAACAGAAGTTCTGTCTTGTGTTTATCGGATCACGATCCCATACGTTCCCAACACTGTTTCTCTCACACACGTATGTCAGCGACTGACTATAAACGCTGAGCGTCATTCTCCCAATACAACAACCATGTTTACAATACTATACATCGGGAGCAGTCTATAATACGACTATTAAGACCTGTAAGCTCATGTAAACCAGACACGGCCAGTCATTGAGTGGCCACGCATGTCATTCAGGGTTTAAGTCGACCTGTGTAACGCAAGGGTGTATATTCCTTCCGTATGTATTAGTGCTGAGAATCAAGTTTAAAGTTGATAACTTATTAATGCTGTTATGAAACTCCTGGAGGGCAATTTGGTATTATTGGGTAAGAACGGCCCACACTTGATGTTAAAATGGTATTAAGTAATTATTATTAGACCTCTAATCGATAGATAATATCTTTTTACATTTGCAAGTGTCCTGCGTACATGCCTGTATTGTGGTTACATTTGTATTGCGTATATATTAAATTCCCCCAGGGTTATATCATTTTTATCAGTGTATAGACGATGAAAAGGTTTTGATAATAAGCACAACAACAGACGCGCAAATATGGAACATTGTATATATTCACATCATATTCTATGAATTGCCCATTTTACAATTTATTCATGAAGTTTCGACCTAAAAGTTTATTAGGAATAATTATGCCATTGAAGAATGACATATGTGATAATGACTTTATGAGTTGTTTTAATCCTGTTGTCACCGAAATATGGGCGCAAACATAAGGGAGGTAACTGCTGTACGAAACGGTGTATCCAAGCAAGGGGATAAATGATTGTATGGCTGATTACTTGGCTGAATACGGTCAAAATACTGAGGGTAAAAATATACAGTGCAGGTATCTACCTACAACTGATTGGGTACACCACCCTGAATAAGTACTTCTTTATCATTTAACGTACAGGCGACTTAGCACGCCTTCAGCACATAGTTGAGCAGCACTTTGTTGCCCCCGTTCCTTGAATGTATTAACACGCTGTTGTTTAGTAATTGTTCATATTAGCATAGTCATATCAGGCTGATCTGAGCAGCTGTTCCAACAAATGATCATGGATGTTTGTTTTTTCTATGTATCTACATGTCACCTTTTATTGTCAACATGAAACAACATCTTTTACGTTAATATCTTTTCCCATTTTTCGCCAAACGTTTTGAAAAGAAATTACAATAGTCTGGAAAATAGGTTGCCTTTCGCCCTTTACTTCAAATCATAAAGTTAATTTTTGTTCTGAGGAGACATATATTCGGTAAGATACATTTGCTGTTTCTAATGTGTCATCAGATTCATTTATTGGTTATTTGTTGCTGAAAGCCGCACAGTGCAATATACCTGCTATATCACGGGTGTCTTTAAACAATCGAGTCTCGACCAGCGATCCAGAGATTGACATCATGAGCATGGGGGTACGATGACATATGTCAACCAAGCTAGCGAGCCTGAACACCCGGTCCCGTTTAGTCGCCTTTTACGACAAGCATGGGTTACTGAAGATCAATTTTAACACGAAACTTCACGGGTCTTTTCAACGATGTGTAATTGTCTGCAGCCAAAGTGAAATTAGCAAACACACCCTCTGGGTTCGGGTCCGGACTTTCTTCTAGAGTTTTTTAGTACCAGTATATTACCAATTCTAACCCCTGACTTAAAGAGTAACCAGCTTGGATTGCTTGATTGATAGCTAGACATTGTACCCCCATGACAGCATGTCATTGTACCCCCAACGGCGTGTGACGTCAGCTACCTGTTTGGCCCAAACTCGATTTTTTACATTCGCGTGCGCGCGTGTGTGGAGATTTTAAGAAGGAGAAAATTTAAAGAAGGGGTGCGGGGAAAATTGGGGGTAGGGGTGGTCACCCATTTTGTTCTAAGGAGGTAGGGGAGTCATCAAGTTTGTGCACATGCACGGGGTGGGGGTGATTTTCTACATGGCATGCAGGGGAGGTAGTGTAACGTTTTTAAAGTTATATTGGGGGTGGGGGTGGGTGGTTTGTCATTCACACTGTACATGCGTCTGATACCAGCCCAACCCTTAGCTATAAATTATGAACGGTCTCCTGTGTTTCAAAATATATCTGTGGTATTTTTGTCAGGCTATGCATTTGATGAGTTAAATTAATATTTTCTTTTATTATAAATCGATCAGTCAACTTTATTTCAATTTGTGTCTAAAATATGCTTTTGGGGTTGACATCAGTTAAAATGAAGGTACAAGTCAGAATTAAACCCCTTTTTGAGTCAGGATTTATATGACACATCGTTCAGAAATTACCATAAATCAAATGTGTTAAAGAGCCTTGAAACAACTTTATGTCTTCAGATGTCCGCTACGGGCGATTAAAAGTTGCATAAAACTACATCTGATTTTTTCCTTCTGATTTAGTGAATATGAAACACAAATTAATCATCAAGTTCATGGAAGCACAATATATCATGTTAAACTATGAAATTGATTGATGCGTTTACTCTCCAACATGGGACCTTAGCGACTATTTGCTTTTGGTTGTTTCTTAACTGTTTGACAGGAGTGTTAGCAATCAAAGAGAAGTTTCTTTAATATGTTGCATTTTTGTTGTTGTCTAACCCGCACTCAGCAATATGTCAGCTATACGATGGCGGTTTGTAATGATCAAGTAATGACCAGACAATCCAGTGATAGACATCATGAACATCGATCTACGTAGTTGGGATCCGATGACATTTACGATCAACCAATTCAGAGAGCCTGATCCTCCGATCGTCGACATATATATAGTCTATATTTACGGTGATATGAGATGAAAATTGCCCGTATATATTTGCGTGCGTGTGTGTGAACACTTGTGTGCTAGCGTGCGTGTGTATGTTCTCGAGTCTCGAGTTTGGTGTAAACTTCCTTTTTCATTTTATTGCTAAACAATGTTGGTGCTTACCTGAAACAGTACTGTAATATTGTAGTGTTCAATTTTAAATGAATCAGATCATCAGTCGGCAGCTCTACTTACCGTATTTACCGAAGTTATTCTGTGAAAATAATTATAACCGCATATACATATGTGTACCGTCTTTGCTGGAGAACAATGTCATGTTTTTCATGTTAACACTCCGCTCAGGTTTACCGTAAAAGTTCTTCAAATTATTTTCATTACTCACGTTGATTTTTGAAATAGTGTTATGATAGTACCGTAGTTAACAAAATAAGGACAGCACACATCACCATTTTATATATACTTCCGCATAAAACAGACTTACTTTCTGTGAAATCTTATTCCGCATGAATCTTTTGACGAAACACATTCGGTTTTGGTTACAGAGTCACACGCTTATTTTGAAATACAGAAAAGTCCAATATATATTGACGTGTTTTTAATAGGTTCAGGCAATTGTTATTTGACCACCCACTGTTTCACGTTATTTGACTCAGGGTCACCCGACCAACACACAGAAGCAACCGGTGGTAAAATACCGGAGTAAAGAAATTGTAAACCAAAAGTCACTGTGTTCTTAAATCTGATTGGTTGAAAAACATGATCGAATGGTATTCGATTCCCGGAAAATCGCTGCGTATTAATACCTACAAACATAGCTCACACCATTGTATTGTTATGTCGTCAGCTGTGATGACGTCATTCAAATCATATTGTGACGTAAAGTCTGCATGACGTCACAAATGAGCAGTTCCAGATGCTACCATGGGAGACAGCCGAAACGGCCGGCTGATGACATTTCACTGCTGTACCCGTACTCGATGTCAATGAGTGCAGACACAAAAACGTGTGTGGACCTTTTGGTTTACTTTTGTGTTTACAATGTCGATAAACATCATCTATTGGCCAATGTCCGGGTGTTATTGAGTATTTGAAGCACGGGAATATTTCATTTAAAACCTCCGGCTGACGCCGTCGACTCCAAATGAATTCCCGTGCTTCAAATACTCAATAACACCCGGAAATTGGCCAACACATGATGTTTATCTCCTAAGTGTTCACTGAAAGAAATTATTGACAAACAAATTTCAAACTATATCAAAATGTTACTCTGTAGAAAAACAGTCCAAAATACCACGATATCCGATATCCGTATAAAACCATTTCCACTAATAAAAATTCCTTGTTTTGCTTCATTCGTAATCCACCAAATGAGCATGTGATTTCTTTTACGTTTGAGTTTATTGTGGAAATTTCCTAAAATATATAAAATATTCATGGAATTTATGAAAATATGCAAGGGTGTTGCTTAAAATTTTCGTGGTGTATATTCGGTACAGAGCGCTTTAATTGTGTATTTCAAAACTTACAGGCAGTACTACTTTTTAACGTGATCCGTTGGCAGAATAAATAAATAAATTACTTTCAGGAGATATGGCAGCTTGGTATCTGAGAAACGACATTTAAAAATAAAGTTGGAGAGATTTATTTGCGCACTGGTTGTCTTGAGAGAAAAGGCGGTGTTTTAATCAACTGACTTGTCACCTTGGAGGGCGCCGTGTCTAGACTCCGTGCATATTCTTGCACTGGGTGTGGAACGTATTGACCCGCTCTTTGTTTTATTCTCAAGAGGGGACTGTGTATTGACAAGCACTTTTCAAGGGGTTTATTTGCTGGGGAAACTGATATTGTGTTTCGGGGTAACAGCCCCGCGTTTGTATTCTGTGTTCATTTGTTCTTGTTCATATCCATATTTTATCCTAAAAAATATTTGACTATTTCATACATTTATGTTTAAATTTAACATTTTCATCGTTGGCGAATTCGTATGTCTCAAATTCAATTCACTCGGATGGGTAAATATAATCTCCAAAATATGTTTTTTTATGAGGTGCTTGAAACAAATGTAATGTTAGAATGTCAGGTTCAGTTTTCTAAGATTTACAGGTTGGTGTGTGTGTGTGGGGTGGGGTGGGGTGGGGGTGTTGTGTTTTTTGGATGGGGTTGCGCTGGTGTAATCTGGTGTTTAAAGCGCGTCTTCTCGTCACGCCGAAGACCCGGGTTCGATTCCCCACATAGTGGCCAGATGGTGGCCACATGAATACGTGCAAACACCTAGTTGCGGGTACAGCAACGTGCAGTGAACATGGACAAAGTACTGTGACTGCGTGTCCCAGTCCACCCAGCTGTGAATGGGTACCTCGTTAGGATGAGAAAGCCACACTAACTCGGTGCGCCTAGTGGCTGCAAGAGTTGTATACCGCCCAGGGAGTTGAGATTGATAATGCGATGTGCCGTTGAAATTGACATCCAATGATCGAGGGAAAAAATACCAGCGCCTTGAGCATGCACTAGTGCGTGGATTAGTGCGCTATATAAATATCCTATAATAATGGTACAATGTGTGAAGCCCATCCCTGCTGTCCCTCGTCGTGAAATTGTTGGAATATTGCTAAAAGTAGCATAAAACTAAACCCACTCACTCACTCACAGAGATTGAGGTTGTAATAAGGACTTTATATAATGTTCCAGGTAATTCTTTACCTAGGTATGAGAGCAGCAGTTTAACATGTACACATATGTAGACTATGACAAAAGGTATTGTCTATACAGTTTCTTAAAGATTTGTCACATTCACATAGTAATGTCAAATTAAACTCTATACTTGTTTCACATACAGTACGTAAGCGTACAATCAACCAATATACCTCGTTTGCATCTTAGTTTCCCGGATGTAAATGAATGAGTGAGTAAATGTTGCATTAAGCCGCATCTGCAATGTTGCAACTATTAGCGACCCCGGATGTAAAACTTCTCATAATATTCCGATATTTTATTTCTGCCAGTAGAGAGAGGAATATTTCTGGTTCCTATATACTCTTACACTGTTAATGTAGGCAACCGATATCTATCGATTCAAGGTCAACAAAAAAAACAACAGAAACCCAATGCACTGTGTAAACTGTATCAAGAGTGGTAGTTTATGCCCCGGGTCCCGACTGTAGCATAGCGACCTGTCACTGTCGGCTTACAATGAGAAGGTAACATATACTAGTACTCTTTACTCCTGTAATCTTACTTTTTCACACCTCTCTTGGAAACAATCTCGTCTCTGTAGGGACCTGTCATATTACATCTACATTCACACTACTGCTTAGTTCGATATATGTACACACTTAGATTACTCTGCGTAATACGATATATAGACTAACGCTTAGTCTCTGAATATATATAATTTTGATAGTAACAAACAAGCCCATTTATATTGAAAATGAGATCCTGCAAACCTAGACTTGCTTTAGTTAGGGCTTTAGCACTGCAGGTAGGGCTTGGCAGTTGGTAAAATAATGTGGTTCAGGGACTGTGAGACAGACTATACGATATATTATACTATGACCCCCTACAGTACTGTTACGCACAATATATTTATATTTTTTTTGTTTACCATACGTGTAATACATGTCGTTAGTCTACGACCGTGTACGTTACTTCTACGTACTTCGACTACGAACACTTCTATGGAGAATACATGTTATTTACTGCATGTACGCTACTGCTATTATGCACACTGTATGCTACAATCACGAACAATACATCTACAGCCACTGATGCTGCTTCTACATACACACGCACGCACGCACGCACGCACGCACATACTAATATTTGTAAAGAGCCAATATCCAGCTCAGCTTCTCAAAGGCGCTTTGTTTTTCCGTCCATCATTGGATGTCAATCTCAACGGCACATCATATTTTTCAATCTCAACTCCATGGGGATCATACAACTACGTACAACACACCCACTTTTGTAGGACTTTGTATATTACTATTTCGAACACGTATATAGGTTATAGTATAATTACTGTTGAAATACTGAAATACTGCAACCAGTATCGTTAAACCAAACTCTTTCACTCACTCACTCGTCTAATACCTCTGTTAATACTGACACAGTTTTATTCTTTATTGCTACTTATATAGCACGGAAATATTCTACAACGTTTGCATCGAATATTTAAACGTCAACTGGTTACTATGTATATTACTATTTCGACTGACTGAGTTTGGTTTTACGCCGCTTTTAGCAATATTCCAGCAACATCACGGCGGGGGACACCAGAAATGGGCTTCACACATTGTGCCCATGTGGGGATTCAAACCCGGGTCTTCGGCGTGACGAGCCAACGCTTTAACCATTAGGCTACCCCACCGCCCTACTATTTCGAACACGTATATAGGTTATAGTATAATTACTGTTGAAATGGTGAAATAACTGAAATACTGCAACCAGTATCGTCAGTATCATAACCAGTCTCTGATATCTCTGTCCCTCGTTTTCCCCCTTTAAAAAAATATGTAACATAACATCAAAACATACAAAAAAAGTATCGTCAATTCTGAACATCACAAAAACAGATTTAATACAGCATTATCCAGTGCCGAGTTGTGTTTTAATCTGATTGTCATTCAGTCAAGCAGGATGGTTGTCAAACCGGATCATGTTATTAATAGGTGTGACAGAGCTCCCCGTCTATTGTACTAGGGCACTGGTTATGTGCACATCGGGAAGAATGGTCTGATTCCAGGTCACACCACTCTCTGTCCCGCCTCCTTCATATACTCATTGTAATCCACTTCGACGAGTCCCAGGGCTTCTCTTTCTTCTTTCGTCCATTCCTTTGGGTCCTTCCAGAACATTTCGGTGCCTTCGGGACAGATTGCGGGGGGTTCCTGTTGTTCCATGGTAAGGAATGGGTTATATTCCCCAATTTTGAAACATGAATCCCCCATCATCCAGTATAGCATAGGATATTCTTCCTCCTCCTTGACCTCCTGACTCGCAGGTGGATCTTTGTGACAGTGGTCACCGTTACAGTCGGCGTCATATGCAGCATGGGAAGCGGCTCTCGTTAGGAGGACTGAAAAGGAAAAACACGAACCATGACACGTGGGAATGAGGAATGAATGAGGTGATTTTATGTGTGTGGCATGGATCTAGGGTTGTTACGCATGCATCGTGGATTAAGCGTCATCATATATGCATCGTGGATTAGGCGTCATCATATATGCATCGTGGATTAAGCGTCATCATATATGCATCGTGGATTAAGCGTCATCATATATGCATCGTGGATTGGGCGTCATCATATATGCATCGTGGATTAAGCGTTATCATATATGCATCGTGGATTGGGCGTTATCATATATGCATCGTGGATTAAGCGTCATCATATATGCATCAAGATTAAGTGTCATCATATATGCATCATGGATTAAGCGTCATCATATACGCATCGTGGATTAAGCGTTATCATATATGTATCCAGATTAAGCGTCATCATATATGCACCATGGATTAAGCATCATCATATATGCATCGTGGATTAAGTGTCATCGTATAAATGTCGTCTTTACATGTGCATGATGGGTTGAGGGTCATCATATAGTTGGCATGCATCGAGAGCTTTCTTATATACATCATTCTTGAGAGTTATCACATATGCATCATTTGTTTTGTTTTTATATTTGTGGTCATCGGGCTATTTTTCATAAGATGAACATGGATCAAAGTTGATTCACATGCGCCACGGATTGAGAATTATGACAATGGGCTGAAGGATTGTGGAGTTTCCTTACGGAGCGCTAATTGTGGGGGTATAATATACTGAGGGAAAAAATAGGGGATCACTTGAAAGGACAGGTGTTCCCTTATTTTCTTCCAGGTTTCCTCACAAGCTATGTGATAGACTCAAGGCAGTCTTAGCGCTAAGGTGACCGTAACTCCTGTAGCTTAACATAGACTCAAGGTAGTCTTAGCGCTAAGGTGACCGTAACTCCTGTAGCTTAACATAGACCCAAGGTAGTCTAAGCGCTAAGGTGACCGTAACTCCTGTAGCTTAACATAGACCCAAGGTAGTCTTAGCGCTAAGGTGACCGTAACTCCTGTGGCTTAACATAGACTCAAGGTAGTCTTAGCGCTAAGGTGACCGTAACTCCTGTAGCTTAACATAGACTCAAAGTAGTCTTAGCGCTAAGGTGACCGTAACTCCTGTAGCTTAACATAAACTAAAGGTAGTCTTAGCGTTAAGATAGTTTTGTGCAACGGCACCAGGAAAGAAATAAAGGAACACTTGTATGTTCATGTGATCCCTTATTTTTTTCCTCAGTATATATACAGTATGGATTGAGGGTTTTCTAATATGAAGACTGGATGAAAGTTTTTTTTGAATGGATATGAATTGAGGGTTTCAGATATGTAACACAGATGGAGATTTGTTTATATGGCCTGTGAGCACACAATAAGATATAAGATATTATTATGCCTAGCCAACCAGAAATCAAATCTGACAGTTACTGTCTTCGGGAAATGTAACATATGTTGAAGATCTGTGAAATGTTTACCACTTTACCTGCTCATGTATCGTTCATACAGGATTCATGTTCTATGTAAAGTGATGTTTCTGAGCAATTATCGTTACATTATCATTAATTATCATTATCATTTTGCACAATGGGCCATGGTAATAGACTTATGTCATTCAAATAATGTTGAAATTGTGATATCATCGACCACATGTTTTTATCAATAATGTATAATTATAATTTATACATATTTTTTTTTAAATTTAAAATTTTAATTTAAATTTTTTTTAAATATGACAAGCGATTGATTTCTTTTATAATAGATTCTTCTTTTAAAATAATACAAAACAATAAGCCATCATGCGTCAAAAACTACTCACCTATTACGACGATAAATAATGTGTGCATCTTCACGTTCCAACTGCTCACCATTGTTAATCACACAGTCGAAAATTAATTTCGTTAT